AAGAGTAGCTTCACATACACACACGCAGAAGCATATGTGCGTGTCTGCTCAGCATCCCATTCTTTACCATTTTAGTTCTGTAGTAACAACTCATACAAAGGCACCAGAAAGAAAGAGAATGCAAATGAACAAGAAAATTAGAGTCATTCTTACTTATACAAAAGAGCAGCTACTATTATTGACTGAGTATTTTCTCAGGAAAGCCCTAGACTTTGGGATGCACTCTCCCAAATAACTTTTATGAACTCTCTCCCCCAAGTCCTCTTCCGATCCCTACTCCAGGGAGTCCTCTCCAAGGTATCCTGGGGCTTACCCTACATCCTCCAGTGGGCATACAATCCAGGGCTAGTCAGAGAAGCCCATCCTGGAAAGTGCTATCTGATTCAGCAGTGTCCTCCAGGGTACGCAGCAGTTATCCAAGAGCACTCTCGCCCCTATTACACCTGCAGAGTATTACCCCAGGATGAGGCGAGGACAAATGGCAGTCCCCTCGTCCTGTGTCTTTTGCCCCTAAACATGTAATTCTTTTCAAAAATTCAACTGGTGGGCAGTGTCTCTAAGAAGGGCCTGATCTCTATGATCTCTATGGCAGTGTCTCTATGGCCTGATTTTCCATCCAACTCCACCCAGACACTGGTGTCCTGGCTATTAAAAGTAAGACAACTGAGCCAGGTGTGGTGGCACACGCCTGTAATCCCATCACTTAGGAGGCTGAGGCAGGAGGACAACTGTAAGTTTGAGGCCAGTCTTGGCTATAAAGTGAGTTCAAGGCCAGCCTGAACTGCATGCTGAAACCCTGCCTCAAAAAGACCAAAAAAAAAAAGATAACTGCGAGCAAATGAATTTGTGATGCACTACACTGGTGCTCCCAGGGAGGGCCAATTAAACATGGGCGTGCCACCCACAAGGGTGGTGAAAACCACGAGCATGTTTACGGTTTACCTGACAGACAGGCAGGGCTCAAGAAACCTCGGTGTCAGCTCACAGCTCAACGCACTGCATGAGGCCCAGGCTCCAACCAACTTCCCGTGGAGCGTCAGCATTTCCCCTTAACAGGAACAGGGACAGAACGTACCCACGTTCGGCAGCCCAGCCCTTCAGCTTATCAGTGAACCAAGTCTTCCCAAACTACCCTAATTGCCTCCTATGTCTTGTTGGCAAAACTGAGCAGACACCCCTGACCTTCTAAGGAAAGGCGCAAGGGAGCGGCACAAGCGACAGCCTCCCCGCTGCCACAGTGGTGTCTCAGTGCAGGAACTCCGTTCTCTCACCACGGAACTGGACGGGAACTGAATTCAATTTCCCCACCAGGTCAACACTGAACCTAACCACTGAATTTCATTCAGTTCCCATCCAATCTGGTTTTCAACCAGAATCACGGAAAGAATAAAGTTAGTGAATCGAGATGTTAGATAGAACACTGTACTGAGTTACAACCGTCAGTCTGTCTATCCAACCATCTAATTCTAAAAATTGTCTCATATTCACCAAGCTGAAAAGATATTCAGGAAGACCTAGCCAGTGTTCAATTTAAACCATCTTTTAAACAATACAATCATTTAGAATAATTTAAAGCAGTCAAGTTGCTTTTGTTAGGAGCACTGAAAAACTAATCTTAGTGACTTCTGATAAAAGCTTAAATGTTCTTTCAAACAAGAATGTTATCATAATAAATAGTACTTGAATTAAGGCTGTCTTACCACTCTTGACAAATCCACTATAAGGAAATAGCATTCTTTAAAAATACCCGAAAAATGTTTGGTAAAACTGGCATAAACATTAAATTACGAACAGCCTCTTAACTATGCTCTTATTAAAATGATACAATATGCATATATATAAATGCATAATGTCTGCATTATTCCTAATAAAAAACTTTATTTCACTTACATCAGTAACTCCTTAAAAATAAATGAATAAACTTGAGAATCAACTAACTACCTAGCTCCACACTTATCTTCTCTTTCTTTAGTCTCTCTGCTCAACAGAAGGACCACAAGACAAGCTGGACTCTGCCCAGGGTCACACTGACCGGTCTCCCATCCCGACATTTTTCCCTGCTGCACTTTCCTGGCCTCCAGGCCCTTTCTCTCCCAGTGTCCACTATCTCCTGCTTCCTGGCCTGTGCAGTCAGCACTAACTGCAAGGCTCTTGACCGCAGTGACTTGCTGAGGCTACTGGATACTTCTTATTCTCCAAGTACTCTTTCTTGTATCATTTGTTTTTCTTTGCTTTGTATCATAAAGTAGAGAGCTTCATTCAGAGTGTTTTCGGTATATAATTCTTAATCTTCTAAACTTAATAATGATGATCCTTCTGGCACATGGGAACTGGTGACAGGGGAAGGTTTCCATCACTGACATCTGCAGGGAACTATGTTCCACATGCACAAGGTATTCCCTAAGCAGCCTTTCACATTTTTACCCACAGATGCTCTTGGTCTATTACTCACAGAGCTGAGAAGGAACAATAACCCAGCTGTCCATCAACTGACAGACAGCCAACCATGTGGTCTACTCACACTGGAGAGCAGGAAGTTCTGACATGCTGCAACATGCATGACCTAGTAAACAAGGTGCTGAAAGAAGCCCTACACAGAAGCCCACTAGTCATGTCACATCATTTATACGAAAAGTCAGAACAAAAGAATCTACACAAAAAGTAGATGAGGGTGAGGGAGTATGGGACAAGAGAGAAAAAGGAACAAGGGCTCTGAGTACACAATGTATGAAGGAAGGATTTTCCAGGGTGGTGAAAATGTTCCCAAGTTGAAAACTTTGAAGTTGTGTTGAGTGAACTGTACTGCACTGCACCCTTTAAATGGGTGAGCGGTACACAGAACTAGAGGAAGAAACCAAGCCTAGAACATCAAGGAAAACAAGACCCTGAAGGCATGAAGAGGTTCATCTTTACGAGGAAGCTATGGAGCAGTGGGTGTGAACTGCTACCTTCCCTTCATGCACTGTGCCAACCTTTGCCACCCAAGACAGTCACTGGCGGTGGCAGACACAGATCCTAGTGAAAAAAAAAACATAAAGAAAGCTCTCTATGGGGTGTTGAGGTGCACGGGACCTCCCCTGGTTCCCCCCGTCCAGTGTTTGGGAGGCCTGGGCTGACTGAACCTGGGGGTCTGGGGGACACCTCAGTGGTGAAGTCAGTGAAGCCCTGTACCACAAAGGGCCTCACAGCCTTTATCCCTAGCTATGTGAGGTCCTGTGATGAATTCTCTTGGTTTATAGAATGGGAGTTCAAAAAAAATAAAAATATTCTGTTTGGGAAAAGAAGGTGCATTTTTCATAAAACTGAAATTATATCCTGAGGTTTGCTTCTACTATTGGAAATTAAGCTATATATGAAAAATTTTTATTCATGAAGACAAAGTACATTCACTAGCACGATTGCCACAACGTGTACAGTACTATCAACAATGCAGGCTGGGGATTTAGCTCAGCAGCATGAGTCTTGCCTGGCAAGCACGTGCTTGTGAGTTCAATCCCTGGTACCAAGAAAACCTCCAAACAAACAAACAAACAAACAAAACAATGCAGCAAATTTCAGCCATATAAAGCAAATCCCTAACTACTTAATGAATATTTAAGAAAACTCACCCTGCACCCTCTGGGAACTAACCTCTCTGGAGTCCCAGGAATACCTCATTTCTAAAGCTTCTCCAGGTTTCCAGGAACCCTCCTCCTAGGAGCTAGATGGGGGCAGGGGTGGAAGCTGCATGTCCAGCCGCACAGGCGGCGGCTGTTCCAGCGATGCCACAGACTCCCATTCGCAGACGCCTGGGGCTCAGCAGTGGTTTTCATTTCTTTACCAAGAGGGGTCCTTCTAGTTCCTCTATTGATTCTCTCCACACTCTGCTCTCCGTTCTCTGTTTCGAGTTACCCACAGAGATCATACTTTCTATGATATAGAATGAATTTCTATTTATGTGCTTTATAATTCTAAATTTCCATTTAAGAGTTTATAGCTTCTCTTTCATTTCTGCTTAAGTGTATAAAACTTTTTGGCCAGAGGAAAAGGACAGAATGGTGTGAGCTCAGCTGGGTGGCTTCTCCTCATCGTTTCCTCCAGGTCCTGAACAGGACATAGCAGCCGGGGGAAGAAAGCCCCCTCACAGCACCTGCAGTGTCAGTAGTCAGGTGAGCATGGCCTGCAGCTCCCACCCAAACACAGGTCCACAGCCGACAGAATGAGGTATTACTTAGGAAATAGAAAAGAAAAAGAAAAAGGTCTGTACATGTTCAGCACAGATGCAATTTCAAAAAAAGCATTTTCAATTCATGATCAAATCTGTGGATGAAGAAACTATAGATGCAGAGGGCAACCATATCCATATATACACTATATTATACAGCATATATATGTACTATTAGCATGTACCTTCACATATAAATCTAGTCCCCTGAATCCTAAGTATGTATGGAAGTGCATATGCAGTATAAGGCTGAACTTGAGCTGCTGTATGTTCAATATCAGCAGCTTAAACAGTAGACCCAGAACCACTCACTGCCCAGGGCTTCCTCATTTGTACACAAAGGACAGAGTGATGAGACAACAGGCTTCAGTGTACATTTGAAATGCCGGGCAAGAATACAGGAAGGGTGTCAAGACTTTGACTTCTTGTGCACAGAGCAGGTGGGACAGGTGAGCACGGGATGAACTGCTAACACCTGAGAAGCCACTAGCTTCTCTGCCACCAACGAGGCTGATAGGGAATTAAATGATCTCTCCTCTTCCAATTGTCATACACTGAGAACAAGACCGAGAATCACTGGACTGCCTCAGAATTGAAACAGAGGCAGTGGTTGTCAACATCTGACCTGGTGCCTACCTGGAGCACTTTCAAAGACAAACTACCTCCTCATGAAGAGACCTCAAATAGACACACTTTCTTGATCCTTTCTGTGATATAACGACTATTGTGGAGGAAGGAAGGAAAAACACCTGACCCTTTATCACATTATGGCTGTACTAACTGCTCCTATCTGTACCTGTAAGTTCATGAGCTGTGCAGTTGATTTTCCTTGCAGGCACAAGGCCTGAGCAATAAATGCATGCAAATCCTCCAGGCAAAGGGTGTCCACCTGAAAGTGACAGAGAAAAAGTCAGAATTAGGCTACATTTAAAAACTTCATTACTTCTTATATCTTGCTGTAAGCTTCTAAACATGGACACACACATACATAGGAATCATGTGGGCACGCGCAGAGCTCAAGTGCACGCCATGCATGCACAGTGCATCAGACCTGGGGCAGTAGATGGCGTGCACAGGGAAAACGCCGAGCCTCTCCACTTGCCCTCCACAACTACTGGCTATGAAGCTCTCCTTGCTCCCTTTGGCTATGCATATAACTCACAGGCCAAGCTGGTCAGGGGGACTTGGGCTCCTATTAAAGTTCCTTGCTAGTAAGGGAGTCATTAAGAGGTGCCAACCAGGTCTGAGTCTTGGAGCAATATAGGCGATCACTGCTGGCATTAACTGTATGAAGCAGACGATTTCTAGACAAAGAGCACCCACAGCTAGGCTGGGATGGTCAGGGCTAGGAAACATTCACTTTCAACAACCTGGGATGACACTTGTATCCTTGTATTCCAGTTTAAAATAACTCAGGATTCTACAGAATGAGTCCCTCTTATCCTGTGTGAAATCCAAAGACTTAAGGAAGAAGTGGCTAAGAAACAAGGAGACGGAGGGGATGGCGATGGCGGGGGAACAGCTGGGTTTAAAATGAGTCATGGGCATGAGAAGCCTTACAGAGAAGACAGACTGCACACCCCTTGTCTCCACACTCCTGAGCTGCCCCTGTCCTTACTAAGCCACTACATTTGCCACCCAAATGGAATGGCTATGATGGCCACTTGCCAAGTAATCCCACTATCACACAAGAACACACAGCTCTTTAACAAGTAGAAGGAGCAAGCTATGGTGACAAAGGCGTAGAGAAAATAAACAAGAGAACAATGACAAATCTATCAGTATCAGTAACAGTTTCACCGCTCCATTCCAAGTAATAAAATGCTAGCATGTCTACCAGTGATAAAATGACCCACTATAATCAGAAATCCCATTTATTGTAGATCCTTCTGACCTCCACCTTGAATCCCTCTGGAAACATTTTGCGGAGTGCTTCAGACCTGACCTACCTCCCAGGGCCACTAAGCACTCCTACCTACCCATCACTACCTGCTGTGTGTTTATTTAAAAGGATAATGAATCTAACTGTGGGGGTGGGGGAGTGTATGGGATTCATGACCAAGGAAAAAGATCCTAATTACAGAAGGAGGACTGAGCATGAGTATGTTTTAAAATCTCTAACTACCACCGCTCTGCTTAGGCTGATGCCTGCTGGCACATAACTGTACTTCTTGCCATTAGCGACCTTTGAAGAGAGCTGATCTTACACCACCAGCCTAGCAGAAAAAGCACCATGTGTCAAGTTTCCTCACAGGTAACCAACATCACACTCGACCACTTCTGCAGTGGACAAATTCAAAACATACCAGAAGTTGCCAGAGACTCTTAGTAATGTTCAATTCTTTATATTTTTAAAAATGGCCATCAATATATATAAAATGTATCTATATATATAAAATACGTATCATTTCTATAATGTAAATTTATCCTTCCAAAGGGTTTTTTCATATTAGTACTACCTCTTTTGTTTGTAACTTAAATTTGGGTCTAATGAGAGTATTGAGTTTCCCTCATTTTCGTCCCACACTGCATATCTAAACATCTAATTTAATCTTAACTATATGAAATTATATATATTTGGGTGCTGAGAAATGAACCCCTCACCATGCACATACTAAATAAGTTCCCTAGCTCTTTTTAAAATTTATTCTTCATCTTTTTGAATTTTGGGACAGGGTCTTGCTAAGTTGTACAGACTGGTCTTGAGTTTGCAATCTGCCTCAGTCTCATGAGCAGCTGGTATTACAGGTGTGTGTCACCATATCCAGCATGAATCTATAGATTTCTCTTTCTAGCTATATTAATTCTGAGAATAATTATCTGTACGAATCAAGCACAGCACCTTCTCACCCTAACAGATACCACTGGCTCACTGACTTGATTTCTGTCTGTAGGACTGGCTTCTCATCTCCTTTGAACTCAAACCAGCGTATCTATTTGTGCCTGCTTACACCGAAGAGTTTCCATTTACTTTAATAAATGACAATCTCCTGCATGATGAACAAAGGAGTAGAAGAGCTACACCCAGTGATCATGGAGGGCTCTATAATTCATCTCCACTGTTGGAAAAAGCATTCACCATACATGCCTCAAGGGTGCTGAAAACAGCATTCCTATGGCTACATAGGGCACTAAGAGCAAAGCATTCATTTTTCTGGATGAGAAAACTTCACTTTCCAGCTAACCACCACTTCTCAATTCCCACCTTCAATCACAGGCATTCGGAGATTAATAAGCAATGGACAGAAAGACAATAATCGCTAATATATGCATGCATATTAAATATGTACTAGCAAAAGAAATATGGTCTAATATTTAAATATTACAATTCATGCTGTTCTATATTCACTTATATTTTGCTATACTAACCTACAGTTTGGTACAAATAAAGTAGTCTACTCAATACAGTAATGCAAAAACTACAGTTTATACCAGTCCACTGAAACCAATAATGAAGAACTATTTAACTGTACCCTATTTTTACCAAAGCAAAATGTAGAGTGGCTACAGCTGGCAGAGCCAAGCAGACACCTGGAAAGTCAGTATTCACATGGAATTCCGTAACAGGTGAGATTTCTCAGACAACCAGAAATGACATAATGATCTGTTTCAGGCAAATGAAAGCTGAATGGCCATGCCAGGGCAGACCCGTTCTGCGGAGGGAGGAGAGGAGAGGACAAGGAGACCTGCAAGGTCTAGTGGATGGGTGAGAAAACCTCAACAGGCCGTAGAAGAGATATGCAACAGCAATGAAACAAATGCAGCAGAACAGGAGTGGGAAGCAACAGGCAGAGAAAGAGGGCCTTTCACAATCCTTAGGATTTTGTTCTCTAAACAAACTGTAAATCTCACAAGGAAGGAACAGATCAGCTTGGTGAATGATCCAAAAGTGAAGAGTTTGGTGCTGCGATTGTGAGTGCACAGGCTCAGCAGGGTGGGCGGATGCTGGGGCAAGGGCAGGCACTTCGCCGAGCACCTCTGCACAGTACTTCACATGCTCCAGCATGTGGCTGACCAGTAACCTCGGAGCTGGCTGTCACCGGAACCTCACTTTCAGACTGCAAGCGGAGGCTCAGCGCTCAGGAAAATGCTTCTGGTGAAGGTGTGAATATGACTAGGATAGCTGAAGTGATCTGCCTAGAGGGTCAGAGCTACTGACAGAAAAGGATGAGGAGAGCCCAAGAGCCTGGGGAAGCTCAGCCTAAACAAGGCAGGTCCTACACCTGCACAATGCCCCAGCCTCTCTGCTGAGGCGCACTGAGACCAAAGATGGACAGATAAAGCTGTCAGCCATATGGTACCACAGCACCTCCACGCTTCTAGAATATCTTGAAGGACTAACACTGGCTACTGTTTTCTAGAAGCGTACTGTAACACAAGAAAGGGATGCTGGCCAGAGATGATCTGGAAATCAGCCTGCCTCTCCACCTATAGCATCCTAGGAAAGAAGGGGCCGGAAGCAAAGAATGTTTGCAGCCACAAGAACAGAGAGCTCAGTGTCACACCTGGATGAAGAGGTAGATCAAGAGGCAGCACAGAGCTCTCAGTGGGCTGTCCACGGCCTGCAGCTCTTCCCTTGAGGAGGAGAGATTGAAACAGGAGAGTAGTATATCCAGGCGCTGTGCCTGCACGGCCGGCTCCTCACTCAGCCACAGGATTTTCAAACTAGGTGTTCCTCCTAGTTAAAAAGGATAAAGAGGTTCATGCATTGTTATCCTTTACAATACAGGTATAATATGCTTCTAGGAAACAATAAACAAACAAATCCCTTCCCTTCCTGATATACTAGGGGCTTAAATCTTAAACTAGAATGCAAACATGAAAAATACTCCCTAGTTCAAAATATAAAAATCCCTAAAGGGCCAGCATGCCCATCTTACTGAAAACTTTCTTCTTGCTTCTTTGTAGAGCTGGCTGCAGAATCCAGGGTCTCATGCTTGGGAGCAAAGTGCTCTACCACTGAGCTATATCCACAGCCCAGCTCTTTGTACTTTGGAGATGGGGGTCTCACTGTGTTGTCCAAGCTGATCTACAATTCATCATCCTTCCATCTGTAGCCTACTGAGTAGCTGGAGTTACAGGTGTATACATCATACCCTACTCCTCTTTTTAATGGCTACATTTTGAGGGAAATTGGAGGCTTTGCTTCTACCCAAGTTTTGCTCTTTACTGTTTGGAAGATGTCTCAGTAGAGATATCAATATATCAGTAAAGAACCAGGCATGGGGACACGTGACTGTAAGCCTAGCACTCAGAGGCTGAGGCAGGAAGATCCCAAGGTCAAGATCAGCCGGGGCAACTTACCAATTTAGTGAGATTCTTCCTCAAAATTAAAAAGTATTTTTTTAAATGGCTGGGGATACAGCTCAGGGCAAAGACCCTGGGACCTCAGTACCAGGGAGGGTACACACACACATCCACACACACACCCCACACTCAAATGTACTCCTCTCTCCAAAACAGAGGACTGTTATGCTGGAAATGCAGTTCATTTAGCCCTTCCACAAAATCAGTGTTTTTTTTTAGACTTCTGTCTACAAATGAATCAGTCAGAGATCCAGATGCATTTTCCTGGAATCCATGTGAATCTTTGGATTCAGAGTGCTGTATACTGAAGTCTACATTTTAACAACCCTAAAACCATTTCCCTATAACTACAGTACTTGACAAAATGGAATCCTGAACAGTACTTCTTAGTATTTTATATATACATTTATGTGAACAAAGTCAAAAGAGAAACCTTACTTAGAGGAGAGAGTTTCTTAAACCAAGTAAAATGATGGGTAACTGGGCAGGACGCCACGTAGGCAAGGGTGGTCTGTTCTGAGCAATGGGAAGGTGCTGGAATGAGACCCTGGGTGTAACACCTCCTGCGACCAACAGCTGCCACTATCTGTCAGGTCACTGGCTGCATACCAACACCAAAGCACAGGGATGGTCCACATTCCCTGGAATGCAGGTCCTGCTAACCAAATGGTATGGGAACCCAGGAGCTCAGAATCTAAGAGTTCTTCGGCTTTCTCCTTTTGTTGCTGGTAATGTCTCTCACTACTCTCAGTGGAGCACTTCCCACCTTCAAAGTTAAACAACTCTGCAAGTAACTCACACTTCTAAAAAGTCCGCAGTGCTCCCTTCACAAGAAGAGCCTTTTCACTAGTGGAGAGAAAAAAATTTTCTTGAGAAAGAAATAAAATGCTAACCACAATTAAGATCTCTGTGGAGAAAGAAAAAAAAAAAAAAAACACCTGTAGGACTAGTGTTTAAGATACAGCTACTTTTCCAGAAAATTCAAGTGCTGGCAAGTACATGTCAGAAACACACTCCGAGGGAGACCACAGACCCACAGGGACCTGCTGCCTGCGAGCCAGAGCAAACCTGTTCCTATTTTAATCATTGTCATGATTTTAAGTCATTGGGAGAAAAAAGAAAATTCGCACTTCTTAATACAAGAAAATGATAGGAATTCACAATTTCAAGTCTTCCAAAGTTTTAGTGAAATGCTGCTGTGCTTATTTATGTTTGTATTGTTTATGGTTCCTTCCACATTTTTAAGACAGAGTAGTGAAAACTACAAGACTTGCAAAGCCTAATATACATATTTACTAACATATTATTTTTAAAGGAAAGGTTTGCTCATCTCTGATCTGAGAATCTTCCACTATCATAGTTATTTCAAATATAAAAAGTACTTAGGGTCTTCTGGTAAAGATGGCGGATAGATAAGAGCACATTACAGAGGCTCCCTGAGACAATCAACTTAGATGCCAAAATAACACAGCATGGGGAGTCCCGTACAGAGGGAGATGGATCCTCTCAATCCAGGAAGAAACTAAAGTAAAAGAACCAGTCAAACATGCAGTCCCAGGGCTACTGTTGGAACAGCTAAGATTCGGCGCTCCTGCTGCAGAGCTTGAACTCGCACGGCCACAACTCATCGAGGTGCCCGAATTCTCACCACTTTGACTCGCTGGCACCACAGTCATGCTGAAGTGCAGTTGCATTGAAGTCGGAGGTCGGCAAGCCCAATGGAGAACAGAGCTAGCAAGGGACCTGCATTGACCTGTGGTGAATGTGGGGAATAAAACCCTTCCAAGGAAAAGGGGCACCAACGAGATGATATTTTGGAGCTGGGCAGGACTGGCAAGAACAAGGAACAGCAGCAGTGACTTCAGTCAGTTGTTCCCTTCTCAGATGAGATTGGTGGGGTGTGCTTGGCCTGGGACATGGCCCTGACTGAGACCCAACAAGTTGTCCCAAACCAATTCCCTACATGTGGTGCACACTAATGCAGTGAAGGTCTTAGCAGACTGACTGACCCGAAGGGGAGGAGCCAGCATACGCCACCCCTGTTTGCACCTCAGTAACACATTGGAGTGGGCAGGATCACCTAGCCAACGCGCTTCAGAAGAACCATAACCAACAAGGAAAGGGACTGGGGACTGGGATCTCCTCTATGTGCCTGTATGGAAAAAAAATAAAAATATGAGAAGAGGAAGCAACAAGAAAAAGTCCCCAGCCCCCAAACCTGAGAACATTGATCCATGAAAGGTAAATACAAAAGAGATTGAGGCCAGCAAACATGCAGTATCAGACATGGCACCAGTGGACATAAAGAGATACTTTTGGGATCTCATAGACGAGTTCAAAAGTAAAATACTTAACCAAGTAAAGCAAGATATAAGTAGATTAATAAAAGAAATGCTAAGCACCTCTCAAGAAGACACAGACAGAAGAATGGAGGAGCACAAAAAAAGGAGAGAATCATTTGATGAAGAATATAAAGAAAACCCAGAATTGGGGGAATTTCGGAAGATGCCGGCTTGCTAGGTAGCTGGGTGGAGAGCCTCTCCGGGAAAAACAACTCAGATGCTGGAATTTGACAACATGGAGAGGGCCGGATGAGCGGAGAAGAACTCTCACAAACCCAGGAGGAAACTGAAGGAAAAGGAAAAATAGGAAGAGGAAGGAAAAACGTGGGTGGAGGGCTGGAGCCAGATGCATTCACTGAGATCCATCCTGTGCTGTGCTGGGAACACCGTGGGGTTGCACGATCCATGGTCGCACTGAAGCCGCCGATAACGGGAGTTGGTAAGTCCCAGGCCCTTGGCAGAAGGACGCTGCAGCTTGGAGTGGGACCAAGGTGGAGAGCTGCATTAATTCTTGGTGAGTCCTGGAAATTGGGTCCCATGGCAGGTGAGGCCAGCTGGAAGATATGTTGGAGTAGGGCAGAATCTGGCACCAAGGTGGCGTCAGCCAGCCACTCCTGGCCCAGAGAGGACTGGTGGGATCAGCTTGGGCTAAGCCACATCCCTGGTTGGGACCCAATAGCCAGGATGAAACTATCTTGACCCTGTGATGTCTGCCACAGCACAGCCTACGTTGCTGAAGGCACTCGCCAGCTGACTGGCTCAGAGAGGGGCCAGCTCACAGTCCTGTATGCACCTCAGATGACAGTAAACTGGAGAAGGCAACAAGCCCCCAGTCAGCACACTTCAGAAAAATCATAGGCAATACAGAAAGGGCCTAAGATCTGCACCACACACCTATCTGAAAGAAACCAGAAACATGACAAGAAAAGAAATAAGAGAAAACCTCCAGCTGCTGACCATGGGAAAATAAGCCCAGGAGAGGTAAATACAGAAGAGAACCAGTGCAGCAATCATACAGTATTGGCCACAGCATCAGCAGACATAAAGAAATACTTTCGTGACCTCATAGTTGAACTTAAAACTGAAATTCTAATCCAAGTGAGGCAAGATATAAAAAGATTATTTAAAGAAATGCTCGGCCCCTCTCAAGAAAACACAGATGGAAGAATGGAGGTAGGGCTGGGGATTTAGCTCAGTGGCATAAGTGTCTGCCTTGCAAGCAGGCAGTCGTGAGTTCGATCCTTGGTACCATAAAAACAAAAAAGACCAAAAAAACAAAACAAAACAGAATGGAGGAACCCAGAAAAGGAAGACAAACCTTTAGTGAAGAATATAAACAAAATCTAGAATACATGAAACAGATCCAAAGAGATTACCAGGAAACTAAAAACTCCATTGACAGCTAGCAAAATGTCTTGACAGAAACTAAAGTTAGACTTTCAAAACTTGAAGAGAGATTTACAATGTGTGATCCTGAAACAAAAGACTTCTTAAAAATAACAAGGAACCGGGAAGTAACAATACAAAGGCTAGAAGATGATAAGAGGATCTATAACTTAAGAATAAAAAATGTGAGCGAAGAAGCAGGAGTAACCACAAATGAATTACAAAAGCTATTCACAGAAATAATTAAAGAAAACTTCCCAAGCATAGGAAAAAGACATGATATCTAGATAAATGAGGCATACAGAACTCCAAGCAACTACAACCAAAACAGATCCACACCCAAGCATATAATAATCAAGATACCAGAAATTCACCATAAGAACAGAATATTAAAAGCAGCCAGAGAAAAGAAGCAGATCACCTACAAAGGAAAAATCATCAAAATAATGACAGACTTATCAATACAAACTATCAAATTGAGAAGAGCGTAGGGGGGAAATAGTCCAAGCCCTGAAAGAAAATAACTTCCAACCCAGATTGATGTACCTTGAAAAACTCTCTCTCAAAATTAATGGAGAAATAAGATATTTCCAAGACAAGGAGGAACTGCGGGAATTCATGGCCACCAATCCAACCCTACAAA